AAATTGTGGACTGCTGTTGGAGTAAGATACAAGTGGCTCTATATAAATCCTGAATATAAATAATAATAATAATAATAATTAGTATTACTTTTTTTATCTGTTTCCTTTATTATATTATTAACTCATTTTGTGAAACAGATATCATCTAACTATACGCCCACATTGTAAAATGTAGGGTCAATTGTAAGATATTTTTTTTTTTTTTTAATTCCAGTTCTTTTTAGTTTTCAAGCTTTTTCCCCCACACCCACAGCCTATTTTTTCGTTACTTTTTTCCCCAAGTTGGACTTAAGAATTCTAAACTCACCTAAATGTTTAAGCGACATTCTACAGAAATTATTTGTAATGTAAAATGCTTTAAGAATCATGAATGCCCCGAACATTAAATAATTATAGAATTCCTACATCATGGGTGCATTTCAGTATTGAAAAAAGATCGGCCTTCCCAGTAATAAGGTATTAAAATTACATTGTTTTGCAGAATAAAAAAACTGGTGTGGTCTACAATGAAAAATGTATAGCCCTTAAAAGATTAAATGGAAGCACAATTTTTTAATTATTTTTACCGTTTTTCTACAGAATATATTTCTCAATGTTGAAGAGATTCAGATTTTATTGTCTGTAGCCTGCAGAACAGGGAGGAAAGTGTTTTGACTGAAATAAAAAAGTGTGAGGCTTGTACAAGAGAGCCCTTTTTAATACATATGTAAGTAGACAACACCCAACGGACACATACTGTATCTTTTAAAGCATTTCTCGAAACAAAAAGCATAGAGTCTCCATAACACATGTACAAGGACAGGAATATTTGTGAAACTAATAGGACGCCTCCTTCTAGTCTTCAAGAATTTATTGTAGTATTCTGCAAGGCAATTTAAAGCAAACAAAAACATTTACATTTAAAATACAAGGTCTGCTTTTGAAACGTGCCCCCTCTGCCTTTTTAAAAGGGTAAGTTGAAGTATAATCAATCTCTCCTTTTTTCTACATATATCTACTGCTTGCAAGCAGTAGATATATGCAAAAATATATTTTTTAAAAAGCTACCAAAAAGGTAATGAATTACCTCACTCTCCACCGCTTGCTCCCGTCCGAAGATCTGAAAATTATTGAGTGGCCATGCAGGATGATGGGGCGGGCCCATGCGCAGTATAGATCTTCGGCGGAGAGAAGTGGAGAGACACAGTGGAGGTGAATACATGCAGCCGGGAGCATGCACCATGGGACCTGAGGAGTCTGCGCTGGATCAGAGACCGCCACCAGCGCTGGGGGGGATTGCTGAATACAAGTGGAAGGAAGAAGATGATTGGCGCAAGAAGCATAATTTAAGGTAAGTCCTTAAAGCAGCATGGGGGGGGATATATGTTACTTTTATGTCACTTTAAAGTGTAAGAAATCACCTATAGGGGGACAAATGTTTGATAATATACTCACCTTTCCCCAATCTTCCTCCTGTGACACCTAGGCAAAGGTGATGTCCTCCTCCTTCCAGCAAAATTTGGAGCATGTAGAGTAGCCCAAATCTCAGAAGAAGGTGCTCCTAGCACTGTGCTACAGAGTCTTCTTAGGAATTTTGAGGTTCTCACCATTCCCCGGCATCTCATTAGCAGAAGGATGACCAAATCTCAGAAGAAGGTGCTCCTAGCACTGTGCTACAGTCTTCTTAGGAGTTTTAAAGTACTCACCATTCCCCGGCATCTCACCAGCAGAAGGATGACCTCACTACTCTGCACCAAACCTGGAGGAAAGGTGAGTATAATATCTACCTTTTATTTCCTTACAGGAGATTTTCTACACTTTTACGCACACACTTTTACACATGCAGAGTATGAACAGTGGTATGAACAAAATCTTATAAGAGAACTATGAGGTAAGTGTTTTTCCCCATAATTTTCGTTCATGTTTCAGAATCATGGGAGGACATATACTAGCACCCTCCCGTGACCCAAAGGTCAGTATATATATCAAGCTATTGCCCGCGATATACTGAGAGTGCCGCAGTCTGGACCGATCCCGACAATACTGTCTGGATCCACCCAGCTGCGTGAGTGACAGCTGGCTCTGCCTATCTAGAGGCAGAGCCACCTGTGCCCACCCCCTCCCCCATTCGTTCCTCCAATCATCGCTGGAGTATCAGAGAGGGGAGGGATCACTGCAGGGAGACGATGGGGAAGTGTTTCTGCTCACTTCCAAATCGATAGAGCCAACCTGTGACAGCTTCTTTGTCACAGGTCGGCTCTAACTATGAGAATGAGTGGAAATCACTCACCTCATAATTCTCCTTTAAATTAGATATTTAATTTAATACTTTGCACTATTGCAGGGTCATTATTGATTTGAAGAAATGTAGTTTTGCAAATGCAGAATTGCTATTTTAATATACTCATAATGTATGGGATATACTACATGATGACATTCATACCTCTAATATTTGATTACTTTCTTAATTTCTCCATATAATCTGTTTTATGAAAATAAATATTTAAAAAAATGTATAATTTTATAAAAATTCCTAAAAAAATAATCTCATGTTTGGCATTGTCTTAATTAATATGATATTGTCATGTGTCATGTTTTCTATCTAACTGTGTATTATACTGTATATATCCCTATTTTATTATTCTATGTATTATTCTATTTAATAATAAAAATACAGATTTCATCTCATAAAATAAATTAATATAAATCTGGATATTAAATGTTATGATCATATGTCATAATACATGTTATGTATTATATTAACGATAGACAGAGTATGTTTAATAAAATGGTATGTGTATTAAAAAAAGTGAATAAATTATGGCTCAGCCAAAGTGAATTTACTCTGCTATTTGGTGAACACAAGAACGATCAAAGCGTTTGGCAAGCTATTCGCCCGCCGAGCGCCGTACAAGGCACTGCGCACCACAGAGTGCCTTGTGAGCCCTGATTGAGTAAAGCAATGCACCTGACCACAGTTCAGGTGCACGACTTTACCCAATCACAGCACAGTGCACTGTGAGATCCATGATTTGGCAAAGTAATGATGGATGAATTTGCCCAATCATGGCTCACACAGCTAAGTCCTGTCAGGTGACGGACAAATATAAACAGTTGGTCGGAGCTAGCGGTGACGTCAAAATTCTTACCATACCTTTGAGGGGCTAGTATGACTTTGAGGGGAACCCGCTCACTTTTTTTTTTTTTAAATGGGGTCCCTCCTAAAATTCATACCAGACCTTAAGGGTCTGGTATTGGTTGGGATGGTGGGTATTGGTTGGGAGGGGGAACCCCATACTTTTCTTTTTTTTTTCTTTATAATTGGCACTTTTTTCTTTACAAATGTCATTTTTTCTGCAGCAGGTTATATACATCGTACAGATGCACCACTTTACAGGCAGGTTAAGGGGACGATATTTAAAGGAATTTTTCATTTTTATTGTTTCACTTTAAGCAATGTTAAAATCACAGCTCCTTTAAAAATTTTATTTTTTAAAAGTGTTTTTTTCATTGATTCCTGTCCCCCCAGGGCAGTACCCGGATCCCCATACCCTTTTTATGGTCAATAAATTGCATATAAGCCTCCAAAATGGGGACATTTGATTTTCAGAGTTCTGGTCCTACGGACAAATATAAACAGTTGGTCGGAGCTAGCGGTGACGTCAAAATTCTTACCATACCTTTGAGGGGCTAGTATGACTTTGAGGGGAACCCGCTCACTTTTTTTTTTTTTAAATGGGGTCCCTCCTAAAATTCATACCAGACCTTAAGGGTCTGGTATTGGTTGGGATGGTGGGTATTGGTTGGGAGGGGGAACCCCATACTTTTCTTTTTTTTTTCTTTATAATTGGCACTTTTTTCTTTACAAATGTCATTTTTTCTGCAGCAGGTTATATACATCGTACAGATGCACCACTTTACAGGCAGGTTAAGGGGACGATATTTAAAGGAATTTTTCATTTTTATTGTTTCACTTTAAGCAATGTTAAAATCACAGCTCCTTTAAAAATTTTATTTTTTAAAAGTGTTTTTTTCATTGATTCCTGTCCCCCCAGGGCAGTACCCGGATCCCCATACCCTTTTTATGGTCAATAAATTGCATATAAGCCTCCAAAATGGGGACATTTGATTTTCAGAGTTCTGGTCCCATAGACTTGCATTGAGTTCTAAGTTCGAGTTCGAACTTTTCCCATGTTCTAAATTTCGAATTCGAACCGAACACGAGGGTGTTCGGCCCATCACTAATCAAGAAGAATTTATAAATTCTATGCATACTTTTTTTTCTGCAGGTCTTTACTATTATCATTCTACATATTTAAACCATAAAGCCATGTCAAGGAATGTTTTAGAGAATACCAATCAAACTTTTGTAAGAAACTTCATCCTTCTTGGATTATCTAACAATCCTGGTCTTCAAATCGTTTTCTTACTCACTTTTTCTCTGCTGTACATGCTTATATTATCTGGAAACCTTCTACTGATCCTCATGGTAAGGCTTAATTCCCAACTTCAGACACCCATGTACTTTTTCCTAAGTAACCTCTCTTTCATCGACATTTGTTTCTCCTCGAGTGTGGTGCCAAAAATGTTGGTTAACACAATATCAAAGGACCGGAGTATTAGCTTCTGGGGATGTGCATGCCAGATGTATTTCCATTTAGCATTAGGATCTACAGAGTGTTTGATATTGGCTGTTATGGCTTATGATAGGTATACTGCTATTTGCAAGCCTTTACAATACACTGCTATCATGGGCAGAAAATTTTGCCTATGGCTCTCTGCTAGCTGTTGGGCCATCAGTTTCTTTAACTCATTCATCTTGACAGTACTCACCTTCCAGTTGCCATATTGCAGGTCTAACCACATTAGCCATTTTTTCTGTGAGATGCCACCACTCCTACGACTCTCTTGTAGTGATATTTGGCTTAATGAAGTAGCAGAATATATATCAGGCATCCTGATTGCTCTTGGCTCTTGCTTGTTGATCTTTGGGTCTTATCTCTGCATTGCTATGACCATTGTAAAGACTCAGTCAACCAAGGAAAGACAGAAGGCTTTTTCCACTTGTGCTTCTCACATATTGGTGGTCTCTCTCTATTATGGCACAGTCATGTTCATGCACTTAAGACAGCGATCCAGCTACTCAGCGAAACAGGACAGAATTGTGTCCATTCTATATACAGTAATAATTCCAATGCTGAATCCCATGATCTACAGCATATGAAACAAGGATATCAAAGGAAGCATCAAAAAGACATTTTGTTTTAGAACATATAACAAAATTATTTGAAAAAAAAAGAATAAAATAATTAAGCAAAAAAAGCTGTGACTGTTCAATATGCATTTAAAAGGATGTTCAATTAACGGTTTGATAAGTGTTTTCATGATATCAGGGTTTCTCCTAAAGGTAATGATGATAATGATATTATTTGGGTGTGTTTTTATATTTGTTTCAAGATTCTCCAGACTTTCCCAGGGTATTAAAATGCTTGGCTTCTTTGTCTGCTTTACGCATGGTCCTTTGCATACCCACGGGCTGCCAAATTTCAAAAAATTATCTTAAAGGAGAACTATGAGGTGAGTGCTTTGCACTCAGCCTCATAGTTCTAGCCGACCTGTGACAATGAAACTGTCACAGGTCGGCTCAGTAGATCGGGAAGTAAGCAAACACATACCGGCGTTCGCTCACTTGTTGATCCTGTCACGGTGCTCTGCCATGACAGGGGAGTGGCTGGATTCCCCCCTCCCCGCTCTGATCCTCCAGCGCTGACTGGCGGAATGGACGGGGGAGGGGCAGGTACAGCTGGCTCTGCCTATAGATAGGCAGAGCCAGCTGTCACTCACGCAGCTGGGTGGATCCAGACATAATTGTCAGGATCCGCTTCACCTGCGGCGTCTCAGTATAACGCTAGCTGTAGCTCGCGGTATACTGAGCCTAGGGTGACGGGAGAATGCTAGTTTGTGTCCTCCCGTTACCCTAAGGAGAACTTTGGGGAAAAGCCCTAACCCCATAGTTCTCCATTAAGGTCATATTTCTAAAACATAAGAGGTACACTGAATTGGTCAGAAAATCACATTTTTAATAATGATATAACAACAAATGATTGTACTTACAATAAAACAACCTTGATTTGAGCATATCAACATGCTGCTACCCCGGAAAAAGTGCCACCCCAACAGACGTGTGATGCACCCTGCCTCCAGGATGGCGGCACGCTTGCGCAGACAAATCCAAAATAGCATAAAAATGTGTTTCCGTTCATTTCGTCCAACACAAATTTTTAGTCTTTGCACATGTCTAATAATATGTGAGCATGAGTGTGTGAGTGTGTTTGTGGGGGGGGGGTGTTATTATTTTTTATTATTAGTAGACCCCTGACATGTCCCTTTTGAAATAAAAAAAGAAATTGAGGACGTGGTGGAGTCCTCAATCTCTGTTTCTGCAGCCTCTGTTCTAAATGAATGGAAAGCACTCAGTACAGAGGCTTCTCATTCATTCAGAAACTGGTGATAGTAAAACATTTACTATCATCCAGTTATCGATGGGTAGAAGCCTCTGTAGTGAGTGCTTCCACCCACTGAGAAACTCATGAATGAACAGGAAGTGATGTAAAGCACTCCAAACTCTGAGGCACTTGTGGCACTTCTCTGATTGAAAATATCAAAGCTGGCCATACACTGTAGGAATTAGGCTGGTTCTTGATGAACCGGCCGAAATTCGCACAGTGGGTGCCGGTGTAGGCACCTATTCGTCTGGCATCCCTCAATCGAAGGAGCTGGTTGGAAAATCTTGGAAGGGACAGCTGCCGGCTCTGTTCGGGTACTCTAACGACGGCCATAGGCTGCCTTCATAATACAACGAAAACAGCGGGAGATTCCTTGATCAACGCTCGTATGCATTGATGGAGGAATCTTTAATATTTTCTTTGTTCAGCCCACAGGATGAATGAAGAAAATATTATAGCGTATGGCCAGCTTTTGTACGGTAACAGAAAGTCCCAGTTTTTTTCATCCTTATCAACCACTTTTACTCATTAAGTCTGGAACTGAGACTTTTTCCTCTGACCCCCAAACCATGACCATGGAAGTTGTGAGGTAGCTCTGATGCAGGGTTACCAACATGCCACTCAAGTTCAAGCAAAATAGTAAGATTATTTACTTTCATACACACATTCGGAACTGGCTACCTGTTTATTCCCCCCACAGCTCCTAAAACAGTGCAAAATCACAGCCCAATAAAATTCTATGTAGCAAGTTCTTAACCCTAACCACAGGCATGCTTTACGGTACCAGTAGGCATCTGCACCATGAACACTGCAGTAGGATAGTCTTTGCATCACAGTGTATGCAGAGTACCTCCTTTGAATACCCAATTGTGTGGTAGGGAAATTTAAAAAAAAAGGATTTTTGCTTGGACATTATGAAGTCACTACAGCTTAATCTAAGTGAAAATTGACTTTTTTATGCGACTAGTCTATACTCCTTTAGGAAATCAAGCCCAAAGAATCTGAAGCTATTTGATGGGTTATGGATGGGCTTATGCAAAAATCTACATAATAAGCCTTAAATTACTATAATTGTTCACAAATACTTAAAAGATTGATTATTTACCACCTTTTCAGCCTTACTTAGATTGTCTGAGGATGTCTCTTGAAAGTAAGAATCAGAGGTGAGAACCCTCCTGATGTCTGGCATTTGTCATGTGATCTGGAAATGCACTATATATACACCGATCAGCCATAACATTACGACCACCTGCCTAATATTGAATAGGCTCCACTTTTGCCACCAAACAGCCCTGACCCATTGAAGCATGGACTCCATGTTGTGTCTGGCACCAAGTCATCAGTGGCAGATCCTTTAAGTCCCGTAAGTTGGGAGGTGGGGACTCTATGGATCCATGGACATCCCACAGATGCTCGTTTGGATTGAGATCTGGAGAATTTAGAAGCCAAGTCAACCCATTCTTGAACCATTTTTGCAGTGTGGCAGGGCTCATTATCCTGCTGAAGGAGGTCACTGCCATCAGGGAATATCACGTAAAATGACTGTGCTGAAGCGCACAGTGCGCAGAAGTCGCCAACTGTCTGCAGAGTCGATAGCTACAGACCTCCAAACTTCATGTGGCCTTCAGATTGGCACAACAACAGTGAGTAGAGAGCTTCATGAAATGCGCTTCTATGGCCGAGCAGCTGCCTCCAAGCCTTACGTCACCAAGTGCAATGCAAAGCGTCGGATGCAGTGGTGTAAAGCACGCCACCACTGGACTCTAGGGAAGTGGAGACGTGTGCTCTGGAGTGACAAATCATGCTTCTCTGTCTGGCAATCCGATTGATGTGCCTGGGTTTGGCGGTTGCCAGGAGAACGGTACTTGCCTGACTGCATTGTGCCAAGTGTAAAGTTTGGTGGAGGGGGGATAATGGTGTGGGGTTGTTTTTCAGGGGTTGGGCTTGGCCCCTTAGTTTCAGTGAAGGGAACTCTTAAGGCATCAGCATACCAAGACATTTTGGACAATTTTATGCTCCCAACTTTGTGGGAACAGTTTGGGGATGACCCCTTCCTGTTCCAACAGGACTGCTCACCAGTGCACAAAGCAAGGTCCATAAAGACATGGATGAGCGAGTTTGGGGTGGAGGAACTTGACTGGCCTGCACAGAGTACTGACCTTAACCTGATAGAACACCTTTGGGATGAATTACAGTGGAGAGTGCGAGCCCGGCCTTCTCGTCCAACATCAGTACCTGACCTCACAAATGCGCTTCTGGAAGAATGGTCAAACATTCCCACAAACACACTCCTAAACCTTGTGGACGCCTTCCCAGAAGAGTTGAAGCTGTTATAGCGGCAAAGGGTGGGCCAACTCAATATTGAACCCTACGGATTGAGACTGGGATGCCATTAAAGTTCATGCGCGTGTAAAGGCAGGCATCCAAATAATTTTGGCAATATAGTGTATATATATTCTAAATATAAATTCACTAGGCTGTATGATACAATATAACATTTTTATGTCTTTAAAACAAATAACAAGCTACTGAATGCAGAACATAGAACTTTACAAAATACTAATCAGTGATTTGAAAAGCTCCCTCCAGAGACAAAATCAGTCTTTAATTGGTCTGGGTAAACAAAAATCACTCAACACATTTTGACACAATAAATTGTGCCTATTTCTGCCCCAATTAGGAGCAAAATAATTGGTCCATTCCTCTGAGAATTTACAAATACTTATTTATCACAATGATAGTCAACATCGCTCATATTTCTAGAAGTCCAACCGAAAATATACTTGAAGCACATCATGTGGTTGTTTGATGGTGACCAAATGCACGGGTCATTACTGACCATTATATAAAGAGAGAGCCATTGTACAAGGAAGGTACATATACTAGTCTACCATTCAGTAATAACATTGAGCTAAAGCTTTTTTTTTATCAGCACAACTTACAAATCTTAAGAGATATTCTTTGGTTATGTGTGTCACTGTGAACTTATAGTCTAATGACCATAAAACTAAAAATTGAAGCATTCAATTTGAAGTATTTGCATTTAGTTGCTTATGTATTTACATGTCATTTTACATTTTATCAAATTAAATTGAGGGAAAAAATAAGCCTCTATTTTTATAATTTGAGGAAAAAGGTTTGCATCAACTATTTCCTAGTATTTTATAAACATTTAAAGAAACTTTTTTATAGTATTTTTTTCACTCTCCAGTTGTATCATTTTACTTCTCAAAGCCATATGTGAAAATACAGCATGCTGGGAACTGGTGTACAGAACACAACTGACCCTTTTGTAAGGACATTCATTCTATTAAGACTCTCAGATGTTTTCAGTCTTCAAATAATCTTCCTCTTGATGTTCTCAGTGATGTATTTGATGATATTGTCTGGAAACCTTCTAATAATCATTGTTGTGAGACTTAATGCAAGACTTCAGACTCCCATGTACTTTTTCTTGAGTAACCTCTCTGTCATTGATATTTGCTTTTCGTCAACAGTTGTTCCCAAAATTTTGGTAAACACCATATCTAAGGACCACAGTATTAGCTTTGTGGGATGTGCAACCCAAATGTACTTCCACTTAGCCCTGGGAGGTGTGGAGTGCTTACTGCTGGCAGTCATGGCCTATGACAGGTACACCGCCATCTGTAAACCGTTACAATATAACCTTATTATGGACAAAAAACTCTGCACAGGTTTAGTGGTTGGATGTTGGATTGTGAGTTTTACAAACTCTTTAATCTTGACAACATTCACCTTCCAGTTGCCATATTGCAAATCAAACCTCATCAGCCACTTCTTCTGTGAGATGCCACCTCTTCTTCGTCTCTCCTGCAGAGATATCTGGTTTAATGAATTAGCAGAGTATATCTCAGGAGCGATTGTTGCTCTTGGTTCCTTCACACTCATTCTCGTGTCCTACCTTTGGATCACACTGACTGTCCTAAAATTTCATACCACCAAAGACAAACTAAAAGCGTTTTCCACCTGTGCTTCACACATAGCTGTTGTGACTCTTTACTATGGAACCATCATGTTCATGCATTTGCACCCCAGATCATCTTCTTCTGCAGAGCAAGACAGAGTAGTGACTATTCTCTATACCGTGGTGACACCTATGCTCAATCCCATCATATACAGTATCAGAAACAAGGATATCAAAGAAGCCATCAAAAAGACTTTATGTTTTGTTGTATAATTTTCTTATTATTAGTGTTATTATTATTTATTTTTTTATTATTTTTATTAATGTTTGTATTATTATTATTTTTTTATGATGTCACTAAAAAAAATAAAAATCCTAATAATTCATTAAATTGTCACCTATAGTTGAAAAAAAATGTTACTGCACAGTGTGGGGACAAGGTCCACTAGCACCCAAGGTAAAAATGGCAAATTTTGGCCCTCTTCCCTTTGGTTCAGTCCATAAATACCTTTTACATAGTCACTGTGAAGATGCATAAATAGCAGTAGACAGATACTTACTATGAGCTGTTTACTACATCAGCAGGACAGGTTTTAGGTCCACACTTATTTGTGCCCCTTCTTTCTCAATAGACCACCCAAGGCAACCTCTTCTGCCTACCTCTAAACCCACTCCTCCTAGCTGGAGGAGCATAGGAAATTCCTATGCTTCTTAGCTCCATCTAGTGGTAGTAGCTGTATGCTGTGCAAACACATTATAAATCAGTCCTTTAGAGTTGTCACTAGCACAAGAGGTAAAGGTGAATCATCCACCAGGGACAAATTGTCAGGGTTTCTTACCCTTCCTTGTCTAGTTGAGCTGCAGCCTGTCTTCAGTGCAGTGTCCTCTTTGGCGCCCTCTTATGACCAAAACCATAAACATCTTCATTTTGCAACTACTCCTGGCAGCGTATTTTATCAGAGTGCTGTAAATACCAGTTCAATCTTTGACCATCAGCTTTTCCATTTAGTCTCCGCCCTTGCGTGTGTTCAAATCTACCAAGTACTCTGCTGTTGTTCCTGTTCTCCGTGCATGACCCTGGCTCTGGCTGACTGATCTCCTGGTTCCTGACTCTGACTATTGTTTATGTTCATCCTGCTCTCAGTGTTCCCTGACCTAGTTTGGCTGACTACCCACTTTGACATATGACCTCTGAGTTGGCACTGACAGCGTCCTGGACTTTTTCCATGGTCTTTTTCCATTTTTGTTTATTATTATTTTTAAAGCTTGACATGTTTGGTGTCTATTTACCTGACGTGACCCCGTCTTTTTATATTTTACCAAAAATATGGGTGATAAATGGGTGTGGTTACTGGGGGTGTGGCCACTGAGGGGTGTGGCCACTGAGGGGCGCTGTAAAGCTTTCTCGCACAGGGCGCCTAAAGGCCTAAGGCCGGCCCTGATTATTTTCACAAATTCTTTTTATTTTTTAACCTGCACTTTAAGTTTCTCCCTGGATTCTTGGTTCCCTGACACAAATATTCAGATGACAACCTCTCTAAAGGCCTCATTCTGCTGGATCAAGACATAGCTTTGTGTTTTAAATCCTAAACAGACACCACAAGCTGACTATTATTCAAGCAGAATGATTGATTGGATGGGTTTGAAGAGCTTGTCCAATCACCATAGATGTCTGCGATATCCTTGAAGCCACAATGTTTACTTTCTGATTCCTTCCCCCCTCTTGAGTGTTTACAAATACATGTGCATCTAGCCAAATTGCTTCAATGTACTTGCCTATCCACCCATCTTATAAGGTCCACAATGGTTTGGGATCAGTTGTATTTTACTTTTTTTTTTTTTGCATTTTTTGAAGCCTGTGTTTTATATTTGTATGTTTTTTACTCAAAAATATAAAATATTTGTACCCAATAAAGTTTAATCACTTCATGAAATTAGATTATAATTTTTCTAATGCAAAAGAGCCCAGCAGAGGCTTTTTCCTTTTAGACTATCTGTCTCTAATTGAACCTTTGGATGGGGGCATCCCAAGTATTGTAACAACAATTTTTAGAAAATCCTTACACTTATCTTTGATTGTCCATTCAACAAATTCAGTGCAGATTCATTAGGAGCACAGTTGAATAGGGATTGGCACAGAATCTTCAGTAGGAGAGACACCAGACTTGCTCTTGAGGTCCTCTCTATTCCAGGCACCTCCAGCATCCATCCAGTTCCCTGGTTCTCCTCCTCAGTCAGTAGCCAAGGCCTCCTCCAGGCTTAAGGCCTAGCAAAACTGGGCAGCACCCCAACCAGGACTAACCCATGACTGGCACCAGACTGAGCACATGGCAATTCCCTTGAGTATATATGCCCTATCCCAGCATGTACCACTGGCTATGAGAACTCCAGTGATTGGCTGGTGGACTACAGTACACACACACTCACAGTGTCCCCCATTGGTTGTTGTCTCACACTGCAGCAGAGTCACACTCCACTCAGGCTGGTACAATCAATGCCAGACACCTGGAATTAACCAGATAAATGTCAACTTTAATTCAACCAGACTGACTACAGCTCTGGCAATCACTACATTTCTTGTAGCCACTCCACTAAGGGTGATAGGGGCTACATAGTGATATAGTAACACCTTTTGCTTGGCATCATTATTGCAGGAAATGTATTGATTATACATGTTGTCCTGAATTTTTATTTACAGGAAAACTGTCGTGCTTTTGGGTCAACTTTATTTATCTTTATTGGGAGAGTTACAGTTTTCCTTTCGGACAGAGAACAGCTGTTCTTTTCTTTCAGGTTGTCATTCGAAGCTCCATATGACTCTTTGAGCCACTTCACCAACCTCCATTTTTGGATGTAAATTGTGCATCAACTATTGCATTCTGTAAACAAGTAAACAACAGGTTTGCAAAACAACTAAGGTCAGCCATGTAAAAATGAGAAAAGTACATAGCATATAGTATATACCTAAGGCGGTTATTCACAAAGCTAGCCGAAGGATCAGCTGTAGCTTGCGGGAGCCCTTCGGTTCAGTCGAACCGAAGGGCTGCTGTACGGGCTATTCACTATAGCCCATACAGCTCCCGAAGGAGGCCGAGTGGTTCAGCAGAGCCGAAGGCATATGATTTGGCTCGACTGAGCCGAAGTGACAGCCGAAGCGGGGTGAATGGCCGAGCGAACGCCTTGCAAATGACAGCTGGGCAGAGCCAGCCGTGATCTCACGGCTGGCTCCGCCCAGTTGTTATGACAGGTCAGCGTCCCCAAATGACCTGATGACGCTGAACTGTCATTAAACAATGACAAATGGGCAGAGCCGTCCGCGATGTTACAGCCGGTTCCGCCCAGTTGTTATTAATTGGCCAGGACCTGCTAGAAGACTCTAACAGGTCCTGGCCAATAGGAAACACCGTCCAATTGTTTTTTTTTTCTTTTTAAAAAAATCTTTATTTATTTTTTTAATTTACAATGTATTTACATTTAAAAAAAAAGAAATTCTACTTTTTTCATTTATTTCCTATCCTGCTCGGTACCACGGAGGCCCAGAGCAGAATAGCAGAGCCGAATGCCGCTTGGCGACATTCGGCTATTCACGCACTGCCGTTTGGCCCCTATGAGAATAGGGGCCAACGGCAGCGAGTGAGCTGGCGGAGCTTCGGCACAGCTGATCCAGATGTTCGATCAGCTGAGTCGAAGTCCTTCTGCACTTCGGCTGACCGAAGTGCAACTGAAGCCAGCCGATGTCTAAAATCAGCCATACAAGCCTGAAGTGAATAGCTTAACAGCGTTGGGCTCACTTCACTTCAGGTAGGTTATTCACTCGGCTGCCTTCGGTCATCTTTGTGAACAACCCTCTTAGTATCTGCTATATATCAAATATTCATAAGCAATTTTTCAACTATACCCAATTACATTAATATCTTTAACATTTTCATTTTTCTTGAACATAAGAAAATGTATACAAATATTCCCCTAAATAGCAATACATTTGACACTAAGTACAAAGGGTTTTCGTTTGTTTACTTTTTAAACATTTGCAAACTCTAATTGCACTGGGAATCTTAAATCCTCAAAGCAAATCTCAGATAAAAGATCAGTTTGAAAAATTAAATCTTTAGGGAACTAGTAAAGAGCTGTTACATGTTATTTAAAGCCTGTTTATGATTTCTTGACCTCCCTACATTAACAAAGGAAAAAATCCATAAAAGAAGAATATATTACCTGCAAACTCCACAGTAGCTTTTTCTTTGAAGCTCTTCTTTTTATCTTGGTTTGGGCCCCTTTTGCAGCACTTACTGCAATTACTTTTGCATGATATTCTAATTATTCGAGTTTCACTCGTATAACTGCCTAAAGTATAATGAAAATTCACATATACTCTGAGGTTTGAAACAAAATATCTGCCCTGGTGAGACCCTCTGCATTTGCCCCTGCTGAGACCCTCCACATCTGCCATGCTGACTATAGTGGTGATTTTCTTAAAAATGTTCGTGAAGTAAGGTTTTACTGTTGGAGTCAGTTGATTAAGGTTTTAATGTCTTTCATTTGTAAGTTGTAATAATGTATCATCATTACCAAAAATTGTCCTCTTATGTTGCATTGAACTCAAATCACACATTTGCCGAAAAAGTCATTCTTCTTAGACTCTCTGACGTCTTCAGTCTGCAGGTTGTCTTCTCCTTTTTACTTCTGATGGCATACATACTGACGTTGTCAGGAAATGTTCTGCTGATCGTCATGGTGAAGGTTGACCCTCAAGTTCAAACTCCAATGTACTTTTTCCTGACTAACCTTGCTATCACTGACATTTGCTTTTCTTCAACCGTGGTGCCCAAAATTTTGGTAAACACCATATCTCGGGACAAAAGCATTTCCTTTTTGGGTTGTGTAACACAATTGTATTTCCATTTGGCTCTAGGGGCAACCAAATGTTTAATACTGGCTACTATGGCTTTTTTCAACCATTTTTTCTGTGAGATGCTCAGTGAGATCATAGAGTATGCTTTAGTTGTCCTAGTTGCTGTAGGCTCCTTTATTCTCATCCTTGTATCCTATTTTGTTATCACCCTGAACATTTTACATTTAAGTTCCACCAAAGAAAGGCAAAAAGTGTGCCTCTCACCTTGCCGTGGTCTTTCTTTTCTATGGAACAGTACTGTTCATGCACCTACGTCCTCCTTCCAGTTACTCCCCGGAACATGATAGGATATTGTCCATCCTCTATACAGTGGTGACTCCAGTGCTGAATCCCATCATCTATAGTGTACGAAATAAGTACA